TAATGTGATAAACAAACAGACACTCTCCTGTGCTTTCAAGTATGTTTTGATATATACATCCTACAGTTTTTTAAATATGAAAAATTGCTATAGATGAAGTTCTGCTGACGTAGAAAATTAAAATCAAGGTCTGTCCTTTGAGATAACTCTGACGTGTTCCCTAAAAAGGCAGTTTTATGCATAGAACTTGCCTCAAAACCTAGCATTCCTGTGCATGATCAGCAGAGCTCTGAGACTGTCACCCAAAGAAATACCCAGTTCTTTGCAGGGTAGGCATCCATTATTTGTATGACTTGACCCTTAGGCACATTTCCATTCTAAACCACACTACACAGCCTTTTTCTGATATTTGCAACTTTATAAACATTAAGTAAAAGTAAAGTCTTTACCTTTTAGTCTTGTGCTGGTGGCTTTCTGTTTTATCCTTTACACAGGAACTCCTCAGAGAAAGCTTCAGTATAGTGTGAAAAACACTGTTTTGAATATTTGCCTAAGTAATGTGTCTTGAGTGGCTTTCCATTAAGTATTTTCTGCATGCCTTCTGCTTCTGGTTCTTAAATAATTGTCCAAGGGTTCATCTTCAGGAGCGGTGGTGTGAGAGAGAAGCCAACTTCTGCAGCTGCAGTAGACAGGCAAATTGATTGCTTTCTGCTTGGGGAATCTGGTTCTGCCTGTTTGAAACCCAGCCTTGCTGAGAGGCGGATCGCTGCGGGAGCTGCCCCGGAGCAGGGAGTGTCCGGGAGCAGCTCCCTACGTCCTAGGTAGGGGCCTTGTAAGCTGCGAGTAGAGCACTGCCTACCTACAAAGCACAAGTGCAAGCGCAGGGATTGCTTTCTTCTCCGCTGAAGCACGAAGGAAAAAAGAAGCAAGCCTAGGTCATTCATATATTTACTTGAAAGGGGAAAAAAACCCAGCATAATAATACCCTGTATCATAGTCAGTATCTTAAAAATATCTAAACTCCATGTCTAAGATTGACCTAAAGGCTGAAGCAGGCAGGGGTGTACAGCAGGAACTGTATGACTGGTGCAAAATCACTTCAGTTCTCGGGGAGCATAAGGTGGAGACGGCTGTTTGGATATGCTGCTTTTCCAGATACAGCACCTCAGCTGTGTTTTTTGAGTACAGTCAGTACTGCAATAGGAGTGCTGTGGAGAAAACAGAAGCTAATTGACCAAAAAGAAAAATCTTACACCTTGCAAGGTATTAGAGGTTAAAAATCAGCAGCTACTGCAAGTTATGGGACGCTAGTGTTGCACTCACACTGAGCTATGCAGTTCACCAACATTTCATTCTGCTTCAGCTGTGCTTTTGTTACCGGAAAGCGGCAAAAAAGTTCACTCTCTAAAACTTAAGTTTGGCATTTTAGAAAGCGGGCATTCTTTCTTGCAGCGCTGGACGCACAGGGGATAGCTCTGCTGAAGTGCACGTGCCCAAAAGACACAATTACTAGGTATTTATGCTATGTTACATACATATTCATTACGTTTCCGAGAAATGCTTATCATATTCATGGTTTTTCCAAGAACGCATTAGTAAATGTTAATATCTTTCGCACATATTTGTTGGTGTCTCTCAGTGGTAGTCAGGGGTCTTCAGATGAAGGCTGATACTCTTCATCATCTTGCAGCCTCCTTATCTCTGTAGTTTGCACATCTGCTCTCCCAAGGCCGAGCCGCCTAAAGGGATTATTCAGGAGTCTCTTATTTTACAACCATCCCAATTATTTACAAAGAACCAGGACTTTCTTTGGCTGTGCAGTGATTCTGACGACCTAAAGTGGTAAGTTTTATCTATATCCCCTACATCTATTACATTTGCTACATTCACGGGTATCACTTTTAGAATGAGCAGTCCAGTAACATAGTAAATAGTGCAGTTACTTAATCCTCAGGTGAGGAAGGAATAGGCTGTGGCAACAAACTCTGTGTTCAGAAATATTTCCTTCAGGTGGATCTAGATGAATTGACAGCACTGCTGAGGAATGCATTTTGAGACTAAGGGGCAGTGCAGTAGGATTTTTCAGACTGTAAGAAAGATAGGTTATGTGGAAAAAAAAAAAAGGTGGAGATAATTGTTTCTAATCTTTTAATTACTTTCCATAGCTTTCTTGAATTTCATTTTGGTTTTCCCCCAGTTTAGCTTTGGCCCTATTTCGTAGCTAAATACTGAGAGGACATTACTTGCTCTAGCTGGATGATGAGAAGGAATAGTGCCAGAGTGCCATAAGCATGTTGAAAATGTCATGGGTTCTGTATGGGCATCGAACAACAGTTAGGGAATCTCTGCACTAAATGTTACGAAGTACTGTAGAAGTACTCTTTTTGTTGGGAAGTGGAGATGGATTATCAAAGGAGGGGTGGGGAGGAGAGCCTTATGCTCTTTCTAGCTCTGCAGGCAAGTCAGCAAAGCTTTGATTATCAGTAGGACGTAGGGGTTTTTATCCCCAAGATGATGATAAATAAGTGAACCTTTTGGACCACAAATAGTTAAGATTGATGAAGACTGAGAGAGAATGGACATGTGAGAAGCTGTCTTTCTATGGTCTCGTTCATAAACTCATATTGGAAAGAAAGATTAGATAATGAATCATAGTGCATGAGGTTAATGGTGACGAGGAATGTTTTTTTGAGCTGTAGATGTAACATAGCTTGTTTTTTAATGTCTCTTTGAAGCTAAAAACTCTCTTGTGAGTAAAATAAAGAACTGAGGTTCTCATACTGCGATTCTGGAAAATATGAAGGAATAAGGCCTTAGATCAAATTGAAGTGCTGACAAGTTCTGCTAACTATGGAGTGAATTCTTACCACTGGTCCTTCCCAGAAAGGAGTAATATAAATCCAAAGTACAAGCTTTGGCCTAACATTCCTTAAAAGCCATTTGAGTTAATGATGATGACTTGAGATTTCGGAAGAAAGGCATTGATGTCTGGTCCCAAAACCACCTGCCATTGTGTTCGTGGAAGACAAATATTTGTGATTTTTATCCAGAAAGTTCAATCAGAGATCTTGTGTAATGGAAAGGTTGCTAAGTTTCAGAACAACATTCTTGTAGTGGAATTCCTTTAGTAGAGAGAGGCAAGTGCAATTTTTGGATTCCTTAATGCTATGCAGTACTCCTCTTTGCAGCTTTTGCACTTAGCTTGGATTATTACTGTTGTCGAAAGTGCAAAATAAGATTGCATTGTATGCTTATATTCCAAAATGGTCTGCGCTGGTTCAAAGCAAAGAGTACCTGTTTTCATGCTGAAAAATAGTAAGTTTGAACATAGCTCATAAAATATTATTTAATATCTTTTCATAATTCCTAGAGTTTTACCATACTAGCTTTTAATTAAAAGCAGGTAATGAGAGACAAAAGACTTACACCATGTTGTCACACAGAGTTTTTATGGAAGATGGGAACAACTCTTTTTTGACTTGACCTCTTTTGTGAAGTTTTATTTATTTCATATAAAACTCTCAGACCTGCAAGAAACATGAATGATTTCCTATGTGTTTCTTGTTGTCATTTTTGTCTGTTTAAAATATGTATTTTGGACATCTTAATTTCTCCATTTGTTATTAAAATTTTCTTGTAAGTGAACTGAGAAAGTCATTGACCAACACGACTGCAAGTTTACTTTTTAAAGTTTCTTCTTCGGGAATACATCTGCTTGGCTGACGCATTCCTAAGTACTTAGGTAAACTTACCTTGTTAATCCATCCTACCTGCTTGGATGCTGACCAATTTAAATCCGTTTTAATCATGAAATTAAGATCTCGAGGATAGTCAAGTCCTGTGAGTTTTGTGAAAATTACTACTTGGGTAGCTGAGAGAAATCCCCGTAAGGGGCTTTGGCCTTTCTGTGAGAGGTGGTTCCATGCGGGTTTCGGCAGTTACCATTGCTTTTTCTTACATGTAGTCTGTGGTACACCTTTTGGGGCTTTAGATTGGAAGCTTTTCCAGTTTCATTACATAGATAGAGGAGTTTTCAGTGAAACATTGAAAAGTTACTCTTGATAAGAGGAAGTTTCTGTGGTTTAAACGTGGTAGCACCAGGAGTTTGCTGAGGTGAACCGAGTCATTTGGAATGTTTATAATTCTGGACAGCCCTCTTACCTTTGTAGTAGTTATTGATAGCAGTGCAGAGAGGAGCACAACAGCCTCTGCTTCAGGGTGTGTGTCCATATTAAAGTGTGAAATAATGAGTAACATTATTTGGGTGATAAATCAGATCTGTTTTGTGCCTTTTAAAAAACACACATTATTGGCTGTAGTGTTGGATGCAGTTACAGAGTATATGGAAGCCAAATCTGATCAAGAACAACAGTCCCCCAAAAAGTTAAATTTATCTTCTGGAGTCCTCTTTGCTACCATTTCTTTAGGAAATAAGACAATGGTGGCACTTCATCTTACAGAATACTTATTTTGTAAGCTATGTATTTGTACCCCTTTTTTTTTTTTTTTAGCTTCCCTCTATTTAATAATAAAGTATGTTTTTTAGAGTTATTCATGCAAGTGCCTCCCTGTGAGCTTAAAGTTTTACTTACAAAGAGCGAGTTCAAAACATTACATATCAACTTGTTCGATGTCAGAGAGAAGTTCTGGACAGTAGTCATACCCAAGATGATCATGAAGCAGTATTATTCGAGGAAATGCACACGGTTTGGGAAGTTGAAAAGTTCTGAACTTTGATCCATAGACAGTAAGCACTGTGTGTCTCTAGATATAGAACAGTACAGTCTTTTGCATCCATCTTCTTATTTGTAAAATATAATTGCTTTGTGTATTAATAATTACTAAAAAACTACTAAGCACCTTAGCAGTTGTTTAATGTTAGTATCTGCTGAAAATAGTGCATGGACTAAGAACAGTTAAGAATTAAAGCTGAAACAAGGCATTTTCTTTTTACTTCCTCCTTACCCTTCTTCCTATTTTTGTCAAAAACTTAGCTTTTGGAGATCTGAGAATCTCTCTTGTGTCAGGGTGCTAAGTGTTTCTTTTGATCTATTCTTAAGGCTGGCAAATAAGCAGGACAGAGAAGGAGCTCTGTCAGAAGCAGATGTAATCGAGTCCTTATCTCTGGAAAAGCTTGTCAATGAACACAAGTGTTTATGTCAAATTGTAAGTATATTTTAAGATGCTTAATTTTCTAATACGTATTTAAAGCTTGCAGTAAGGTAGGAGATTGTGCTGCATAGCATAAAAATGAAACTAAAACCCTGCAGTCCCAGCAAAGACACAGTATATATAACTTCTGCACATAATTTAGTTGCTCACCTTGGCATTCTGCTGCTGGATCTGTTGAACAAATCTTTATAACAAGGTTCCTCAAAGTGTACCTGCTGGTCCATTCTGAAATGATGTAAGAATAATTAGTTACTGATGTGGTTTAAAACTCGTTTAATTGGACAGCAAGTTTAGTATTTCACCTTTTTGAAAAGAAGCAGGAAATGAAAGTGTCAGTGAGAATGACCTTCGTCTTTTTCTTTTTTTAATATGTCTGTATATTCTGTATTTCTAAATGTCTGTACTTTATAACTGAACTACAGCAACAATAATCTTGGGGCAAACCGAGAAGAAAAATGCCCCAGTGCTGTCTATTGTTTTATCTTCGTTTTCTCAGAGAAACAAGGTATTATTGCCTATACATATTCTACCTGATGAGGTTCTGCTAGAGAGTACTGTAGTGTTCCATAGTGAACAACACTCATATCTGAACCTCAGTTTAGACAAAGGAGTAATGTGTTAAAATGCAAACTAGGTTTGGCACCTGGGGGGGACAAAACAGGGCAGAATTATTTGTTTCTGTTGTAAATCATATATACCATATCTGCCTATAGTGAGATTTAAATGCTTGTCAAATGAAGAGATAACACAGAGAATTTTTAGGTGTTGACACTGGAGAGTTAGTCTTTTATAATCTTCCTTCATTCATGAACACAAATCCTGAACACAATGAGTGTGAAACAGCATTTCTTCATGTCAAATACATAGCTGGATCTATTCAATTATTATTCAGAGTACAGTTCAAAAGACCCATACAGTGCTCCAAAACATTCTGGAAAATAGTTCTGAAGAGATCTTGAGAGGTCATCTAGTCCTTTTCCATGTTCTAAGCTAGCATGAAGTCATATCTCTTTTGTTCCAATTAAAGCCCATTATAGTTGTTCTCCTGACAGTGAACATGAAGAGCAAATTACTCTTTTCCTAACTGCAGTTATACCTTATGTTTTTGAAAGCTATTATCACATCTCCTTGAAGCTTTTTCATCTCAAGAAATCCACTCCTGTTCCTTCAATGTTTTCTTACCAGATGTGTTTTCATAATCGATTTTGTCTGATTTTTCTCTCTGTGCTCCTCTTCATTCCTTCCAGTCAATCCACTTCCTTGAATTGTTGCATGTAAGCTAGATAAAGTATTCCAAACTAATTTAGCAATGGGCTTTGCACCCATCTTCCAGTAGATTTGTCTAGATCATGATTCTCTTGGTTGCTGAGGAGAATATAATGACAAAAGTTTCACTCCGATCAAGATGCATAATATTTTGCTTCATCCCTATCCACAATACCTGTTCTGATGTAAAAAATTGAATTGGTTTGCCAGTTTTATTGACAAATTCACACTGGATTTTGTTTATCCCATAGGTGCTTATGAACAAGTCAAACATTTCTTTCATGAAATGAAGCTAAGCTGATTCTCTTGCATCTCATTTTTTCCCATTTTACTAGATAAAGATAACAAGGACTATTTATAAACCAGCAGCAAAACTGTTTTCTGTGCAGTATTCTTGTATTTTTGAAATGGGAATGGAAATAATGGAATTTGGTAGAACTAATGTGATTTGTATCTTGGCAAAAAAAGCACCTAAATTTATAGAATACCTAAATGTAAATTTATTTCCCGTACTTCTCAATGGTTTTGCAAGCTTCACAGTAAACAATTATGTGGATGATTTCGTGTTTTCAGTCTAGAAACGTGGTCTGAACTGCAAATAGTTTTACCCTTCTTCTTATATTTACAGGAACCTTGCTCAGCTATTATGGGCTGTGGGAAAAAAATTGATAAATCAATAAAAAAGGGTTTGTATTGGCTTCTACATATCATAGCAAAAGACTTTGATACATTAAATGAGCGCATCCAAAGAGACACTACAGAACAAAAAGCATATGAAGAACAAAAGAAACTAGAAAGAGCTGAGCGAGTGAGAAGGATACGAGAAGAAAGGTATTCTCTCTGTAATTTCTCCTGCTTCCCCTTCCTCCCTTTCTCTAAGATACTTGATTAATTCCTGTACATACACCTTATGGGAACCAAGTTATAAAGGATTTAAAGCTTACAAGCCAAGAGCTTCCAAATTAGAAGTATGGACCGGAATGCTAGAGCCTTTCTTCAAGACCTACAAGTTTTTGCCTGGTTCATCCCCTTTATTTTATTTGCTCTATGCTGGAAATGTGCCATGAATGAGAGTCACAATGTAGATGTGGAATACATTTGCCCTTGCTAATATAACTTTATAGGAGGCTAACCGAAAAAATAAATCCTATCATTTAATTTTAAGTTACCTTCAAGTGTGTTCTAAAATAAACTTTTATTAACTTAAGTTAGACTTTGTAACCCGTATGTGAACAGCAAAGACTAGATGTAAAACTGTTCAACACTATGCTTAATTACATTCAGGATATGCAGCAGGTGAGGCATGGAGAGGCTTAAGATGATGCAGGGAGGGAAGCAGGACAAGTGATTTATTACTTCCCTTCAAAGCCCTTTGTGGTCATCAGCAGCCCTCCATGGTTTCTATTAGAGACTGATGTGAATCATTTTACTGAAACGTTCTTAAAAAGTACCCCTGTCCCCCTGTCTGCCCTATATATGCAGAGATTTCTGAGGCTCAGTTACTGAGAAGTAGCTGTGAAGCTACTGTAAGTGTCTTGGCTTGTATTCTTGCTGATTTGATTTACTTCAGCAAGTAATTACTTCAGCAAGTAAATTACTTAAACACATTTTGAACACCTGGAATTTCACATGGTCTTCATACATATTTCACAAACTTATAAAAAAATTCATATGCTGTTAGTCTGCTAGATATCTCTGCACGGACAAAGCCCTATGACCATGTTGGACTGTGTTGGGTTTGTGCCATGCTGAGAGGTGTAGCGAGGAGGACTGACTTTGAAACATGTCTCAAAGAGATTGTCTGATGATATGGGCATTTTCCATATATTCTGTTCCCGCTCAGTGATCTTGATTGTATTGTTCAGTGGAAGAACTGGTTGGGTCTAAATTGGATTAAAGGCTAAAACATTTTGCTAAACTTCTTGTGTCTTAGAGGAAAGCTAACTAGCAACTTCTGCTGGTTTTGCCTGTAGCTGAGGGCTTGTCTCAAATATAAAAGGTGGCATTTTGGTGTTTTGCATCAAATCGATTTCTTACTGTAAGAAACAGGTTAATGTTGATTCCAGTGTAATTCTATATCATTCTGTGTTTTGATAATTCCCCAGACTGCTTTTTGTTCAGATTTGCTTCCCTGAATGTTTTCTAAAAGTGCGTTTCCTCCACGATATGTTAGTAGCAGTTGCCTCATTCCAAATGGAAAACCAGAGAGAGAGGTAGTGCCAGTAAGTTTTAACGTGGCGCTGGCCGTTCCTTCCGAGTGGTGTGGTTTCATGGGTAGATCAGTGACCTCCTTTTCACTCCCCTCTGTGCCTCTGAACAACGGGCTTTCCCTGCAGCTGTAAAGTAGGTGCAACAGTGACTTCCTATGCACAAGTACCATCAGATCCATTGATGACAAGTATTTGATGAGCGTATACTTTATTAATATATATTATTTAATATGAAGTAATGTAATATTTCTTACATAGAGATCTGGTACATAGAAAATAACTAGTGCTGGTGCAACAACCGTATACAGAGCATTATGTGTCTTTCTGAATTTTTCTGAGTCTAGTTGGAGCAACTATGATTCCGTAACTGTTACTACATAAACTGAACAGTCTGGTACCTGTTCGCACTTATGTATATTAAAAAGAATCTAGAATTATAAGAAACGGAGGTATATTAAAAATAGAAGAATAGGTTTTAGATAGTCTGGTTTCCCACCACATAGATTCTTTTTTTTCTAAAGCAATTGAACACCTTGAAACAATTGTTATAGAAGATTACCAGTGTGAAAATTTCAGCATGAAAATTTCAGCATACTGTTGAACAATCAAAACCTTCCAGTTACATATGTATTCTGTCACATAACCTGTCCTCAGAAACTGCTTTTACTTCCTGAAGTGCTGATTGAACATTCTGGCACATAGTAGCATGTGTTTCTACCTCTGCCATAACGTATATTTGTGCTTTATTTGTGCTAGCCTGTCATTGTGATTTCTGTAGAATTTTTTTCAAAATACAGAAGCATATTGTAAAAATCAGCTGGCATGAATTGGAGGATGACTTAGATGACCTAATAAGTGTTCTGTATTATGTAAAATTTATGGCTTGGCTTCTTCATAATTCTTTGTTCATCCCTGCTCTTTGCGCCCCCCGCTCCCCAAAAAAAAACACTAAAAAAACCCTGATGAGGAAGACACTGAGCCTGGCAACTGTGAAAACCCCTTCCAGCCTATATCTGCTGTAATCTCTGAGGTATGAGAATATGTGGAAATCTGGATCGTTTTAGACCTACCACTAACAATTGTCTGAGAGGTAATGAGAAAAATGGTTCATTTAAAAGAATTGTTCTAAATCTGTATGCACAGCATTATTTTATTTGTTTATTTTAATCTTGGCAGTTTTGTTTTGTGTGCATTGAATCAATGCTTTCATGTTAACAAAAACTCCTGTTATTGATTTGGGGACAACAAGTTTTGTGGCCACAGTAAAATAAAGGTATTTTAAACAGATGACAACACATTTCCTAATGAAACTATTACATATTCAGGAGTGGAAAGTATTCAAGGTCTATTAGTTTCTTGTAAAGTGTTTCAGTGATGTAGGGAGTCACATAAAATCTCCCTGACTACTTCAACTATTTAGATTTCTGAGCATAACCTGTCTTCTATTGAAAACTGAGACAATTGAGAAGTTTTCTTAGCTTTGAAATATGAAAAGCATATTAATATATAAAGTTTCCTTAACCTCTGTTTCTGAGTTCAGGTAGTTCTTATTTATTGTACCATATTTTTTTTATTCAGTTGCCTTGAGATAACATAATCTCAAGAAACATGTAAACTCTCAGAGACTTTTCCAGTAAGTAATTAAAACATTGGCTTCTCTCCTGGACAAAAGCACCCAAATCCACATATGTTGTGAAGTCAGCTACATGCACAATAATACGCTTTATAATAACATACAGAGTATGAAGGGAAAAGTATAGCTGCGAATAATGCAGAGATGATGATTTAGCGCTACAGAACTTGTGAAACAGCCTATCATTGAGGCTGTATGACACAACTGTTTTTTGTTCTAATCGTGGTAGCACTTTCTGGATGCTTAAGCTCTGTGCATGCATATTGTAACTAAAACATTTTAAAAAGTAGTTTAAGAGGGAGAAACTAGGAGTTTTCTAACCTTTTGCTCGGACCATTCATGTTGTTTATATAGCTAGCATTTTTTTTTTTGTCATATGACCAAAAAGAAAGCAAGAAAACAGGCTGTAAACCTAAAGATCACTTATTTTGCTGTTAATACTTTTTTTTTTTCCCCCCTTCCTCTGGACAAGATAATGGATATTTAATTTCTTCACCTGTTTGAAAATACTTTCTATGCTAGATGTGGGGCAGAAAAATATTTTAGGAACATTTTGAATTTTAAAATAATATTCCTGTCTTATTAGTCAGTTTACAGCATTAGAAGTTGTTAAAAAAATTCTTATACTTTTTGTTAGAATGAAAAACAGATTGAAAAGCAAAAGAAGCGGCAAAGGTTGGAGACTGAAAAGGCTACGATTGTCGTGAAATCGCAAACAGAGCAGGAACAAATGGATGCCCAGCACTTATCAAGCAGCAGTAGCCAAAACACAAGCGATAGTAGACTGGACATGTGCAATTCTACAACTGCACAGCTTTTGCAGCATGAAGAAGAGAATGAACAGCAAGCCTCAGAATGCCTTGACTCAGGTAAAACTGCTTCCTTTTACTGTGTCATTTAATGTTATTTTTCACATAGTTCTTCCCTCTGTCTATATTATTTTTCATGATACCACATGTCAGTTTAATTTATTGAAAACATAGAAATGCATCATTAGTTATTGTACTGGAAAATCTGCTTCAAAAAAGTGCGTCTTTGTTGATATGACGATACTGTAGCTGAAAACTAGATTAATTTTTATCACAATCAAGTATGTGGTTCACTTTCCATCAGTACCAAGCTAACTTTAATTTCTTTATTAAAACATAGAGCTTGCATATATTTTATGCTTACAGTTTATTTTCTACAGCAAAATGTGGTGTAAATTTTGCATTTCACATTATTTTGTGTATAAGTTTGGACTGAAAATACTGGTGTATCTCACCCCAACAACTGCATTAGAAGATGATCTAAGATATTATCTGAATATAACTGTATGATATGTAATGTTTTATTTGTTTGGTGTAGATAACAATAAGAAAAAAAATAGAAAAACAAAATTAAAAAGGGGCCACAGAGTAGAACCTGTTAATGCAGAGGATACTGTTCCCAAAAATCCTACACCACCACCAGCTCTTCCACCAGGTAAGTGTACTAACAAACAATGATTGATATCTCAATTTGTGGTTATTAATCCTTTAAAATATTCGTTTGTGAATTATGAAACTGGTATGGTCTTCTTACAGAGATAAGCTACTACACCTTACGCTCTAGGAAATCTTTGATTCGGTTTCCCACTCCATGATATGAACTTTCAGCAGTATTGATCTATTCCGCGGGGGAAGATGTTATTATTTTCATAAAAAGAGAGTCAGAAATTGACTACTTGCTGATGAAAAAGTGATTAAAAATATCAATATTTTAAAGGATAAATCAGTTTATTTTCAAAGTACTTCATCATTATTCACCATACATACAATATATTACATACTTTTGGCATTTCTAAATGCTGTAATTTCTTCCAAAAAGAACTGGCTTCTATAGATTTCATCAGAATCAAGTGCAGTCGTGGCGCATTTTGACTGTCTTTGTTTTCCTATAGTTGGCTGGGGAACTCCCAAACTTAATAGACTTCGAAAACTTGAGCCTCTTGGTGAAACACATCATGCTGGTAACTGAAAAGATTTGGGGTTTTATAGTTTTTTAAAGCATTCTCCATTGTTCATTCACTTCTACATTCATTTCATTCTTCATCTTTTTTGATTTCTTAATGCCAATTTTCATTGACCAAAAGCTAACCCTTTTGCTTGGTAGAAAGCAACTTTTTGATTTTTCAAGTCTTATTTCTTTTTTAACTAAAAAGAACAAGATATCTCAGATTCTCTTATAAAATTTTAAGTGGCACAGGATATCAGAAGCTATTAACGATCTGAAGTTTTTTGCACAGCAGCATTCACCTAAATATTGTATCTAAGTAACAGGACCAGTTACTTTAAGAGTCCAAACACATACTGCATTCAAAGTGAAAGTTCAAAGTATGTTGCCATTGTCCGTATGTAGACAATTCATCATTATCTGATGCCATGGGGACAGGATTTGGGTTACCTGGACACTGGAAGAAGTCTGAGGTTCTCTGCAAAGATGATACTGCAGAAAGACCTAAGCAGGACTGCAGAGATGCAGCAGGGCTGGTTAATTTGTCGTCCATAATGCCTTTTCCACGTCCAGGCTGGTTCTGCACTAAGCTGCCTGTTGGTTTCCACACTGATCACAGAATCACAGAATGGTAGGGGTTGGAAGGGACCTCTGTGGGTCATCTAGTCCAACCCTCCTGCCGAAGCAGGATCA